TATTTTAATACTTGTGGCGTCAACCCCTTCCCCTTGATACTTATGGTTCCTATCTCTATATAAATAGTGGGTCCAAGTCCTTAATACCACCCCTTAAAGAAGCATTATAAAGTATGGGTCTTTTCTCTCTATAGCATTGGTTCTTCTTTGAGTCTTCTTTAAGATACTATCCTCACAACCATTCCATTGTTTCATCAACCAAAACCATAGCCAATTCAACATCCTTCCTCTACCATCTCAAATTATAAATAGCCTACCTATTCACCTTTATGTTTACCACCCTTAACCATCTGTTTTGAGTCATTCACTTATGCAGGTTGTTTTGCTTCATTCCTAGATCCACAATCAATTGAAGAGGTAGAATTACCTTACATCAAATATATATATATATATGTGTTAAGTGTTTCTATCCTTTATATGTTTATATTAATTTATGTACGTACACTACATATACGTGTATATTTGTGTATAACTTTCATGTACCTTTTGTTGTTATAAATACTATTTGTATATAATATTATATGTCGTATTTCATTTTTTATTTTATATAAGTATAATTTGTTTTTTATTATGTATTAATTGTATACATTATAGGTCATGTTTTTTTAAACAAAATTTGCACTTATTAAATATTATTATATATATATTTTATGTAAATTCTATGTAGAAGTTTTTTTATGTTATATTTCAATATGTTTTATGGTCTCTTGACATCATTTCGTTAATTTATATGATACTTTCATAAGCATTTTTTTGACTCGATCAAAATAATTTGAATAATGGAATATTCGTTTATTTTGAGATTAAGAGAGGTGATTGTCTTAAGGAATAAGAGGTCACTTTCAATAATCTTAAAATAAAAGGATATCCTATCACTCGAAACAATAAAAATTGATTTCACTTAAAACTTGGAATTGAGAAAAACATCATGTTATTTTAATTAAATTCACCAAGAAAAGACTGTTAGAATGGATCTAAAGTCTAGTCTCGATGTCTTTAAATAATTGAATATCCTTATTCTAATTAAATGTTGGTAAAATAATTAATTAATCATATTTTTTCATAGATGTATTTAATTTTCGTCTTATTTTGTATGCGTTTAAACGGGATCTCAAAACAAATTATATTTGAATGTATAAAATTTGTTGCAAGGACAACAAATTAATTAATTTGGTACCGATTTAGGGCGTTGTGTGGTGCTAATCCTTCTCTACGTGTAACAGACTCCCAAACTCAAATTTTTTGTAACACAGACCTTAACATTTTTGTTTTAATTAAAATCAATATTTTTATTAAAACGAAAAATATTTTTGGGTGCTCAATCATACCCTTATCAAAGATTGATGACGACTCTACGAACCAATTTTATTGTTTTTTAAAACTCGAGTCTCAAATTATTCGAGACGAACGTTTTACAAAATCCCGATTTTTTTTAATCAACACCAGATTTTTTAAAAGTAACGACTCCATACCTCTCTTGGTCCATTGCTGATTTTTGGCACGATAATTGGATTCTTTCCCTAGTGCCTCTCATCTCCCATAGATGACCTAATGCTTTGGTAAATGACAATCTTCTCGTTTGTGAAGTGGTTCATAATTATGGTTCCTGGAATTGTAGTCTTTTGAGCAGCCTTCTCAATCCCACAGCAATTCTCCACTTTCACAACATTCCTCCTCCAGCCTTGATCCATGGCCCTGATCGTTTGTTTTGGATCCATAACCAAAATGGTCGTTTCATGGTCAAATTGGCGTTTCTTCAACTCTCCAGTGTTGACTGAAACCCCAAGAACTCAGCCTGGAATTCTTTTTGGTGCCTTCACGTTCCGGAAAAAATAAAATACCTCATTTGGGTTGTCTACCATGATATAATTTTATCCAATGTTAACCGTTTTAAGAGGAATATTGCATGAAGTCCCCTTTGTGACATATGTAGACTTGACGAAAGTTCGCTCCACATCCTGCGCGATTGCAACGTTTCTAAGCCCTTTTAGAATTATCTCATATCGCCATCAGATGAATCCACCTTCTTCAGTCTCAACTTTGAAGATTGGATCCTCTATAATATCAGCTTGTCACACCTTCTTCCAGGGACTTCCATCCCTTGGAAAATAGCATTCCCTTCGCTAATTTGGAATCTTTGGAAGCGCCGTAATTCTTGTATCTTCAATGGAAACGGCCACTCCAACGCAGACCTGTATCATTCAAGCATCACGTGGGCATATTATTATATTTCTAACCCTCTCACTCTTGATCAAACTCCTCCACAGAACGTGATTGTACAATGGCTTCCAGCTCCTAAAGACTGGATTACAGTTAACTCTGACGGTGCCCTTGACTCGACCTCCTCGATGGGATCCTCCGGTGGTGTCATCAGGAACAGTACTGGTGCATGGTTATCTGGCCATCATAGAAGCCTTGTGTCATAACCGTTTTTTTAGAAGAATAATTAAATATTATTTTAAAAAAACAATTATGACTTTAATTTTGGAAAAAAATCTGTGATTTTGAATTGATTTGAATTAAATAGAAAAGAAATCGCCATCGACTTTTGGGTTAGGTAGGTCGAATACCTAAAAATGTCTTTTAAAATAATTTTAAGAAAAAAATCATTTTATAAGACAAAATTGGTCTGCATTACCAAAGATTCGATTTAAAAGGGTTCGGGATTCGGTTACACGTTGGGAAGGATTAATGCCCTACAACGCCCAAAATTGGTATTGGGTCGCTTACACGTTGTCGTAATGGCGAAAATCATAAATCGAACATAAAGTTAAAATATGATCCGTTTATTGAAATTTAATTAATTTGCTTCGAATTTATTATTTAAAGAAAATCCTCTTACTCGATAAAGAATCTTGAAATTTGTAATCCTCCGTTGGAAAAGCTATTTCAACCATTTCTCATTCGTAAAAGAATATTCTATCTTTGATATGAAAACTTGAATTGAATAAATTTAAAAAAAAAAAAATCAAAGTTTACATTTACATAAAATAAAATAAATTATTAGTTAAAACAATACATGTTGTATGATTTGAATTGGAACAAATTAATTAGCACTTAAACAACTTCGATTCATTTCAAGTCATATTTTGTTTGAATGTCGTATTGTATTGTACCACTTCGATTAAGTGATACTCTCTGCGCCCATTCTACAAATACGTGCGCTTGAAACAATTCGGATAATATTAACAAATAAATAAAACCATGGAAATAAACACGAATGAAAAATACAAAATAAAACATATACAATATATATATATATATATATATATATATATATATATATATATATATATATATATATATGTTTACAAATAACTACATTATGTAAAATATTCATACATAAATGACTAAAATAAAACTAAGTTAACATTACAACCCAAAATACAAACCAAATAAGCACATAGGATAATTTTAGGGACCAACATGATATTTAACCAAACTTGAAAGGCTAAAATAGCTAAAACATAAATTTAAAGGACTAAAATAGCAAAAATAGAACTTACAGGACTAAAATAGTAAAAACATAAGCTTGAAGGACTAAAATAGCTAAAACATAAATTTACAGGACTAAAATAGCAAAAACAGAAACTTACATGACTAAAATAGCAAAAATAGAAGCTTAAAGGACTAAAATAGCTAAAAACGAAAGTTCAAGGACCAAAATAGCTAAAACAAAAACTTAAAGAACTAAAATAGAAAAGACATAAAGTTAAAGGGCTGAACAGTAATTTCAAATAAACCATGGTCAAAATCACAAACATTAAACAATACATGTACTAAAAATGAAAATAACCCATAAATAATAATTAGGACTAAAATGAAATAAACATAAACATAAAGGACTAAATAATAATTAAACCAAATGCCCAAACAATGACTAAAATAATAAATTTACAAATATCGTAGCCAAATTCAAACATCCACAAAAATACACAAAACACAATATCAGTGACTAAAATTAAATAATTACAAATATTGTGACCAACGTCAGATATTAACAATAATAACAAAATATATAAGAACATGACTAAAATAAAAATATTGAAACATTAGTGCTCAAAATAAAATATAATATATTTTCATTAATGGCTAAAATAAAATATTACAAATGAGGAGGGACATAGATCGTAGTTACCCCGCACGGTGAAAATACATAGAAGACCCCGTCGAAACGACGTCGTTTCGAGTATTGAATATAAGCCCTAAGTGGGCTTATTTCTCACTCGTTTCCTCATTTTAAACGAGCGAAGAGAGAAAGAGTGGGAGAGAAAGAGTGGGAGAGAGCTCTCTAGAACCGACGAACAATCATCGCACCCGTCACCACTGATCGGCGTCGACCGCCGTTCGTCGGAGAAGAGAGAGGAAGACGTCACCCGACTCGTTTCTTCCTACTCAGCACGAATCCGGAGTCGGATTTTCGAGACGATGGCTAGATCGGAGCAAATCTAAAGCGAAAGGTAAAATTTTCTTCCTCTCTATGTTTTCTTTCGATGATTGATATTTTTTTCTTTTTCTCTCTTCGAAACTACCCTTTCTCTCCCTCTCTCTGCTTTTTTTATTTTCTCCAAACCCCGAATGCCTCTATTTTTTCTCTCCACCGAATAGTCCCCTCTCCTCTCCTCTTTGCATGTGATTTTATGATATGTTTTTGATCAACCCCTTTGTAGGAAATGATTTCCCTACATTTCTAGGATAGATTTGATGTGGATTTGTTCTGACTTGGTGTGATATTTGATTTCTATCACTGTGGATGGATTTTTGATAGAAACTGGTCACTGTTGGTGATGGAGCAATCGGTTTGAGCGGCGGCTGGAGTGATAACGGTGAAGCCTCACGCACCGATGGAGAAGCCGAATGATTGCTGGCGGCGGCTGGATGAGATGGATGAGAATTAGGGTTGAAATCCTAATTTGTTGTGTTTCGGGTTGGTTCGGGGCTCCAGCTGAGTCGGGTATGGGTTCTTTGTTGGATTGGGTTGGGTGATGGGTTAATCGGGTATGGGCCCCTGGTGGGATGTTGGCTGCTGGGGCTTTGATCTTGTACTGGGCTTGGGTTAGCGTTGGGCTCCATTTGGGCCTGATTTGTAACCTGCAAAATGTAATTAAAATAATAATAAATAATATTATTAAATAATAATAAAAAGAAGATCCAAACAAAAACGGGTCTACACCTTGGTTTCTCTTCCATCTTACGGTCAGAATTATGGGGCATCTATGATGGTCTTTGCCTAACCTGGAACCTGGGCAACAAGAAAATTCAATGCCAAACTGATTGTGCTGAGGCTCACGGACTGATCACTTCCTCCTCAGCCCATTCTTCACATCTCACACTCATTCGCATGATTGCTAACCTGGTGTGCGGGATCGTTAGCCTTACTCTCATCTTTCGGGAGGCGAACGCTGTTGCAGATCACCTGGCTAAACTTCGACTCATCACCGATGGCTCCATGCAAGTGTTCCAAGATATTCCCCCTTTAGTTTCAAGTCTTCTATATGGTGATATTCAGGGTCCTCCTTACTTAAGGAACCCTTCCAGTAATATGTAATTGGCTTTGCCTCTTTCTGTTAAAAAAAAAATCCCTACAAATCATCGCATTGTTCAAATTTTAATAATTTAATGCTTGTATAACAAAATAAAAATTCAGTGTTATAATTGAATAGAAAAAATTTGTTTGAGATAAAATTTATTCAAGCTCTAAAATTAAGTTATATTAATGAAGTTTATCCTATTTTTATTCAAAATTTAAAATTATTATTTTATCTCCGAACATTTTTGTGTTTTTTTTTTCTCATAATTGTAGTGTACATCTGTTAACGTCATGTGTTTTTATCTTTACGGTTAACTGGTAAACTGGTAAACTACATGGGTGATCACTAAACTTTTAAATATTTTCATTTTGATCATTAAATTTTACATTAGAGTCACTAAACTAAAAAGCTAAAAAAGATTCTAGCATAAATTAAAATATATTAATTTTATTTTATAAATGTTGTCTAATAATAAATAACTATTATCCTCAATTATTTATATTTATATTTAACATCATTTATACTATCACAACTTATCGTTTTAATGATTTAATCTCTTGATAAATAATAAAATCAAAATATACCAAAATAAATAAAACATTTTAATAGATTAATAAGCAAAACATATCAGATTTTTCAAGTTAAGTTGAGTAGGTAGTAATTGTAGTCATCAATATCATATTAAAATCTTTATCGAAAATAATCACTCAATAACTGAGATAATTGAGAGATCGTTCTGATAGTTTATTATAAAATTATAAAATTTGTAGAAAAAATAAAAATAAAATAAAAAAGACCAATTACAATGCGAGAGAGAAAATATTACCTTTCAATTGTTTGTGTATTATAAGTTTTACAAAGATATTATTTATAAGGCTATAATTCTAGTCATAGAGGAAGTATTAGAATGGGTTAAAAGATAAATAGTCTGGGGAGTTAAAATAGTGAAAATACACCCACATATAATAGAATTTATAATAATTCTTATATTATTTTATAATTTATATCATGATCAATACACTTTTATAAAATAAATAAAATTGATTTTAATTATGATTAACCTAAATATTATTCATTTATTTTACAATATTATCAAAATCAAAGTTTAATATATATTTTAATTAATGTATCATTTATGCTATAAACATAATATGCTTATCCTATTTTATAATTTACATTATAATTAATGGAGTATATTTTTACCATTACCTTTTTACCTTTCATATTCATTAATTTTTTAACTGATTTCGTCTAGTGTGCGTAGCAAATAAAATGAAATGTGTTGTTTAACTAATTTCCTGTACTTCTACTCAACTTAGCACATGTAAGGTCAACAAGTTGATCAATGGAGAAAATTGGGATTGGACTGTTTAACTAATTTCTTGGACTTCAACTTTAATTAATATTTGTTTTTCAATTTCACACATACATGTATTCAAACCGATATTCCATGTGTTATTTTAGCCAATTTCTAGGCTATTTTGTTTGTTTGTTCATATTTCATTGTTTTCATATTTAATAGGATAATATTATTTATATTACTTATTAAATTAATGATTAAGTTGATGCTACACGAGTTTCTTTAAAATTTGCATGTAATAGATGTGTCATAATTTTTAATTTTTTTTCATTTGAATAATAGATGTGTCATAATATAATTTTATATTGATTAAATGATTTAAAGTTTTAATTTTATATCCAAATAAGATTTATACTTTTTTATGAATAATTTGAGATGATTATAAGATAGTATTTGTTTAAAAGTTTTCTTAATCATTGACAATACACACCCTAAAAATACAACTACTCAAATTTAAAACTAAAAAAATAACACTATTTTTTATTATTTGAACTCGAATATATTGCTTGACTATCGTTTTTATTATTTGTTAGCAACTTATATCATAATAATAAACCAATTACAATTCTAGAAGACGCTAAATGTGTTGGTCATGGCAAGTGAAATGCAAATGGCCACATTGAAGAAAAAAATGTTGGTTGTTGAACGTGAACTTAAATTTTACGTGACTAATGAATTATTTGCGTGGACTGTAAGCATGTAACTACGAGTAGCTCAATATTGTTTATATTTACTTACTCTTCTTGGTTCTTATTCAGTTATTAATTTGTTCGGCATAATATAAAATTCTTTTAATTTTATAATATTTTAAGATCATTAGATGAAAGGAAATCAAAGGCTAAGATGAACTCCTCATTTTTTCCCTTAATGAATATTTTCTCATTTACTATTGTTAATTTCGGTCATTGATTTATATCATATAGAGTTGATGGACTCGACGCAAACTTGAAAATCAATACACTAATTATTAAAAATTTCAAGTTATTATTTGAATTCAACGATAATAAAATTGTGTAAACCCTTTTAGTTTTACACTATATAAATGGATTCTAGCCCATATGTATATAGATATATGTATATAGATACATATGAACGGCTACAGTTAGACATTGAACTTATCGTATTTTTATAGTATTTATGCATTTTTATAACGTAATAACCATGTTTAATTTTTTTATATTAGATTTAAAAATCTATGATTGTTATTATTGAATAAAATGTAAATCTCCACCCAATTAAACATTTCATTCTTGACATGTTGAACACTCCAACTCAGTTCCCGACTCACCTCGACTCGCCGGGTTCGTTCTTGACATGTTTTTAACACCTTTCGTGGAGTTGGCTAACGAGTTCGGCGTTCCTAGCTATGCGTTTTACACTTCGGGTGCTAGTTCTCTTGGCTTCCTGTTCGACCTTCGTGTTCTTCATGATGAGCGGAACGTTAATCTCCTCGAGTTACAAGGCTCGGACGTTGAGTTCAACTTTCCGACGTATGTCAACCCGGTTTCCGTTAAATTATTTCCCACCGGAATGCTGAAGCCTGAAAGTTTTACTATCTTTCTTAAAATGAATCAAGCGCTTAGACGAATGAAGGGTATATTAGTAAATACGTTCTTAGAGCTGGAATCGCATGCGGTTAACTCCCTTTCTAAGGGTAAGCTTCAAATTCCACCTGTTTATCCGGTGGGGCCAATGTCGAATCTTGAACACTCACACGGGACCCATCAAAATTATGATGCAATGCAATATTGCAATGAGTCGACGAACAACCTCGTTCATCGGTAGTGTTCCTCTCCTTCGGGAGCAGGGGAAGCTTCAATCCGGATCAAGTGGCGGAGATCGCCTACGCGCTCGAGCAGAGTGGACACCGGTTCTTGTGGTCCTTAACGAAAATCGACGACGCAAGTAAAGGGCATGAAGGGAAGGCCGACTGATTAAGAGAACGTGGCAGAGGTGTTGCCGGAAGGGTTCTCAGATCGAACGGCTAGGATTGGTAAAGGCCATCTTAGATCACCCCGCGACGGGAGATTTTGTATCACATTGCGGTTGGAATTCGATGTTGGAGAGTATATGGTTCGGAGTGCTAATGGTAGTGTGTCCGCTTGAAGCAGACCAGCACATCAATTCGTTGGTGAGAGAGTTGGGACTAGCAGTGGAGATTAAAATGGACTATAGCATTGATGATGGTGAAATTGAAATTGTAAAGGCGGAGAATATAGAGAAAAGTATTCGACTGTTAATGGAGCAAGATAGCAATGTTCGAAAGAGAATGAAAATGATGAGCGATAAATGTAGAAACTCTGATGAACGGTGGATCTTCATATTTCATGTTATGTCGTTTCATAAACGATATAATTAATAACATATAATAAACATTTTATTGATACAAATAAATTCATTTTATTAAATTTGATGTTTCATTCCTTCTTAATTTAAATTGTGAGTGAAGATTGATATTTTTATATTTTGAATAGAGTCATGAAAGATGAAGAAAATAATATAAAGGTTGCGAAAGTACCAACTAATGGCGGATTTTTTTTTGAAAAATAATGGCAGAACTTAATATTATCTTATGAGGGGTCGTCTAAAAAAATATATATTGACTAAAATATTTCAATAATTTTGTCAATATAGATTATATATCGAAATATCATATTAATAAAATAAAATTTTATAAATCCTTAAAATTCATATATTCACATAAAAATTTAAATGAACAAAATTCATCTGGTTTTTTTTATTTTCTCGTAATTTCATACAACTTACGTATAACTACAAAAATATATCAATTTAATTTTATAATAAATTAACATTACATATAAGTTTAATCAATATAATTATATTTATATAATCAAGATATTTAGGTACATTTTAATATATATATATATATATATATATATATATTAAATTTATGTCTATATTTATTTTTTAGAAATAAAATTTATGAATTTGTATAATAAATAAAATATTTGAAATAAAAATATAAATATAAATTAAATTAAAAAGTTTTTGAAAATTTATTTTCAACTGAAATGAAATACTTGATAGTTTGATTAAAGTTTCAACTTAAAGAAGAAAAACAACTCAAAGAAGATAAAAAATCAAACATGAAAAATAAAAAAACTTTTTTATATTTTAAAAAAAAATTAACAAATCAAAATGGATTTTCATTCATATAAAGTAAATTAATAATACAAAAAATAGATTTTAATTCTCATTCATAAATGATAATTAAATAATTTTTAAATTTTAAAATAATATAATTTTTTTGGAACAACCAAATTTAATAACTTATCATAAATATTTGTTTAGAATCAAATTTAATAGTTATATATATATTTGGTTGGAGGGCCATGCTTCCTACTAATCTATGGCGTTTTGTCATTGATACCAACCTTTTTCTCAACTTGATAAAGAATATTTATAATGTATTGCGCATATAGAACAAATAAAATATTTTACCGAAAGTATTTCGTAGGACATTCATAATGGTACAAATACAGATTTTTGGTATTAATCATACCGTATGATCATTGGCTGGAAGATGAAAATCGCTTGCTGTTTTCCTATGTTGGTTCGGACAGCCCGAAACCAATGACCCTGTCCGAACCAAATGACCGTGAGGGACATGACTCTTCCTTCAGGGTCTTGGGACTG